GAAAGTGAAAATCATGACACACTCACCATCTGTGGCAGGAAAGACTGTCCGTCCATGTTGACGGTGGAGAGATTTACTCCTGCGATGTCCAGGATAGTCATCGAAAGATCTATATTCAGCACTGGAGACTAGTGGACAGTTAAACAGAATTTTTACATAGAATAATATATTTATACACACTGTTCAATAAACCTGTAATTCTTTTATCTAACCTGAAGTGTTTGTTTAGGTTTGATTCCTGGACCCCGAACTACAAGAGGGATGCGAATATCAAACTCGTACAGCTGTCTCTTGTCAATGGGCAATGAGAACTGGCCTGAAATGGATTTCAAATGATGTGTCAAAGTCAGATGACAACAGGTCAATACAACCGTGGAGACTGAGGACGCACCGGTGTGATAGCCGTGATCAGACGTGTAGAAGATGTACGTGTTGCTCAACTCCTTTATTGAATCCAGTTTCTTAATCAGCTGCTCCACCATATCGTCCACTGACAGAAGCGTCTGCCACCTAGCAGAGATAGTAAATACACATATCTCAATCGAAAGATTTATTTGATAGAATGTCGTATGAATCTATATTTGCGTACCTCCCGCGGTAAGCGTTGTCGAGGTACTCAACGGAGCTGTTTGGCATTGGATTCGCAGGCTGCCGTAGTAACCAATGTTTGTCCTAAAAATCAAAGAAACAGCATATTATGCTCATGCTGAGGTCAGAAAATTATTTAATTGCATCAAAATATAATTTAGAAATATGAACATGCAGGCAAAAAAAAAAATTAAACAGGCAACATATATACAAATAATAAAATATATATTGAAAAATCTATTTTGGTGAAAATAACATTCATCATCAAATAGTATTTAATGCATAATATTATAGATTTTTAAATGTATAATATTATGAAATTCAATTGTTAAACAAATTAAAATTATTAATATGGTATTCATCGTTTACATTTATTAACACTCAATGGCTGGTATTTTGGCAAAATTTAAGAACATATATAGCAACATGCAATAGCAATATATATATCTTTTTTTTTTCTTTGTAATTTCTTAACACTCACTGACTGGTAAATCTAAGAATATATTTTAACAAAACATGAAATAAAAAAACATGTTTTTTGCTCTATTTTAAAAATAAAATACAATAATCACCATCAATGATATTTTAAGATGCAAAATTTTTAATTAAAAGGTCTTTATCTGTTCTGAGATATTTTGAGAAAAATGTCTGCTGAGAGATGCAAACTGATGCTTATATAAAATCCCACAGATTTATATTAAATTACATACAAATTATTAATAAACATTTCAATGAGTATTATTTTATATCCAATTTGTTTTTGGGACATTACATGAGATTTGGTGTCTTGAAGTGTAAAATGTTGTGTAAAGCCAATCTTGTCAAACTCATCGTTTACAGCTGCAGTACTTCCTCATGATCTGTCAGATGTCATTACGGATTAATCTGAAAGCTGAACCTTTCCAGGCATGTTGAAGCTGCCGTTTCGTGGAGCTCTGACGTCGCTGAAGGACTGCTGATACTGAGGGGCGGCCGTCCACGGCGAATGAGGAGACGGCGGACACAACATCATGAAGAACGGGTGATTGGGGCTCCGCTCCTCCAGGAAATGCAGCGAGCGGTTCAACTAGAATCAACATACATTTGATTGCAGATATTAACCACCAGGTTTTCATGTAAGATATAACTTCATGCAAACAAACTGGCATGCAGCTTGACATTGGATCACATTTTAATACCATATAGACTAAGAATGGCTCAAATAAGTTGATTTTTCTTTTGTTGTCCGCAGATGCCACTTGGTTCATATTTTATTTAATGCAATGACATTCATATTTTTAATTAAAAATATAAACAAATGCATGCTGCAGATGCACTGTTTCTTAGAGAAAACTAAAAATCTTGAACTCATTTTTATTTCAATTAGTTGCTAAACAAGCATGTCTCATTTTCATTTAGTGTAACCTGATATACTAAAATAGCAAAACTGAAATAAAATTAATAAAAAAATACAGACATAAAAAAACAACAACGAATAAATTACAAAAACATGCAAAACAATCACACAACCTTTATCTAAAATTTACATTTTTAAATCAATTAATATATTAATTTATACTAAACTAATATCACATTTAATAAATAAAAATATCAATAAAGTAAATTAATAAATCAAAAATGTCATCTAAAAAAATTAAAATGGTCCAAAAAAAAATTCTAATAGTATATCTCAATGATACTAAAATAACACTGCTACACACAGCCCCAGGACTAGAGTTCATCTGTTTCCGGGATACCTGCCCTTAGTTAAATAATAACAGAGCAACGGTCAGTGACGGCAAGATTTCAGCCAGGTTTTAGTGTCAGATAGGCAACAAAACAATGTCGCAGGCCGTATCAAGCAGTCCAGTCATGCGTCCCACAGAAGTCACATGACACACTGCAGCGTGGACAGGCTTACGTGTGGAGGCGCATTCAGAGTCACACAGAATGAAACTATGTGGCTTCTCAGTCAGTCATGTGGCAAACAGCTTGTATCTTGTTCTTAAACAGCCAATGGCGATATTATTTGGTAACCACACAGTGTTAACTGATGCATTTCCAACGTAAAACAAGTTTAGCAGGTGATGAAGCAATTCACTGGCTGTCACATATAGCAGGAATTAAACAGCTGCATAAATTGTCTAAAAATTAATGTTTGATTTAATGTGACATGACATGCTCCAAGCTGAAGTCAAATTACTCGATTTACTTTGCTAATACACATTCCTTATTGTGAACAATTTTTTAGGGCAACTTGTTAAAATTAAAAAGATTGTCTTTGAAACTTGTCATGAACATATTGCCTATTAAAAACCCGTCTCCAAATTATAAACAAAGTAACAAGAATTATAATAAAATAAATGTATAATATGTTTATATATACATATTTAAAATGTATTTATATATAAATGAACTAAGTCTATTTTATTTCTCATTGAATATCCTGTTTAACCCAGAAGTGCATCACATTATGGAAGTAAAAATGGTTTACAGATCCTGTTTTAATGTTGACTAAACACTTTAAAGCATTAAACACTTACAACCAGATCTGTGAGATAGTCCTTCTCGTAGTTGTCTCCATGTTTTTCCTCTTTTCCATTCACAGACAGTGTGTAATTGTAATATTTAGAGTTTCCCACCTGTGGAGACACAAATAAAACCAAAAGACTGTTAGATCATCAGTAAAAGGGAAATTAAACGGTTAAAAACCAGATCTGCTTTTGCAGTGCAAGTTGAGACTGCATCACATGACCATACTAAACTATGTATTCTGCATGAATGCTTGTCTATAGGTGACTGACACTGTCGGATAAGGGAAGTATAGAACATATTGCAGCACATACAGCATTTTTCCCGCTGATCTGAATGTAAAAGGGAAGAAGTCTTAGAATGATGCATCCGTTCATGACTTACCAGTGCATGCCATTGGTCCCAGCCAGGAGGCACATGACCCACACCGCCTGCGTCTTTACTTCCATACTGAGGAGGACACAGAGAGGGATTTACTGTATGTAAGTTGAGGGAAAAGCAACTGGAAGAATCTCATGAAACAAGTAAAGAACATGCCAGAGTCATATTTCATCTCTAAGAAACATTTTTTTTTAGGTTTCAGAAAATTAAGAAATTATATTTTGTTGATGAAGGTTATTTTATGATTTTTTT